TAGAGTAGAGTAGAGTAGAGTAGAGTAGAGTAGAGTAGAGTAGAGTAGAGTAGAGTAGAGTTCTTTTATTGGCCAAGTGTGATTGGACACACAAGGAATTTGTCTTGGTGCAAATGCTCTCAGTGCACATAAAAGAAAGGATATTCATCAAAAATCAAGATTCATAAGGTACAACACATAATAATAGTCATAGGATACAATAAGCAATCATATCATACTAGGATACAGTCAATATAAATAGTAAGGATACAAGCGACATTCATAAGTGAGAGGGGATGGGTGATAAGGAGTGATGAGAAGATTAATAGTGGTGCAGACTTTGTAAATAGTTGGACAGTGTTGAGGGAATTATTTGTTTAGCAGAGGGATGGCGTTTGGGGAAAAAACTCTCCTTGTGTCTAGTTGTTCTGGTGTGCAGGGCTCTTTAGCATTGTTTTGAGGGAAGGAGTTGAAACAGTTTATGTCCAGGATGTGAGGGGTCTGTAGATTAAACACCACCCTCCCTTCCAAGTCCTTATGACCACAATTAAGCCCAACATTTATGTTGTTAAGTGAGACATTTGTTAAGGGAATTTTGTCCCATTTTTGCCATCTTTCTTGCCTCGTTTAAGTGAATCCCTGTGGTTGATAAGTTAATCAAATGGTTGTTAAGTGAATCCAGCTTCCCCATTGACTTTGCTTGTCAGAAGGTCACAAAAGGAGGTGATTACGTGACCTTGGGGAACAGCAGCGGTCGTAAATATGAACCAGTTGCCAAGCCTCTGAATTTTGATCATGTGGGAACGCTGGAAAAGTTGTAACTGTGAAAAACGGTCGTTAAGACACTTGTTTCGCTGCCGTCGTAACTTTGAACATTCATTAAATGAACTGTCGTAAGTCAAGGACTACCTGTATTATTAAGCCTTTCAACGTAGTCAGACAATACCGCCAGGACTATTAGCTCCGTCCTTATTGTAAGGTTACAATAACAGAGCCCTGCATGTTTGAAAGGACATCTCTCCCCCCGCTTTAAATACAAAGTTGGGGTACAAAGAAACTAGGTGGGGTCCCCTCTGAGACTTTGCCACAGTTCAATTCCTACTGTAGACTCTCTTTTTATCTAAACTACTGCCTGGTCTGTGGCTCTTCCTCCTGCCCCCAAGGTCATTCTCACCAGAGGTGGTATTTAGCAGGTTCTGACCGGTTCTGGAGAACTGGTAAAGGAAATTTTGAGTAGTTCGGAGAACCAGCAAATCCCACCTCTGACTGGCCCCGCCCCCATCTATTCTCCACCTCCCAAGTCCCAGCTGATTGGCTGGGTCTTCTTTGGTTGCCCTGCACAGGAGAACGGAACTGGAAAGCAGGTTAGTGGGGTGGGGAGGGAATGGGGATTTTGCAGTCTCCTTCCCCTGCCACGCCCACCAAGCCACGCCCACAGAACTGGTAGTAAAAAACTCTTGAATCCCAAAGCTGATTCTCACGTACCACTGCACCTATAATAACAAGGACTCACCACAATGTTCTTACAGCTCGCATCAAGTGGAAACAATCTCTTCATCAGTTCCTTGTTTTCATAAAGGTATTTTAATTCAAACGCATGCTGCCTCAGGCTGGTATCCAAAGATGCATTGAATTCCAAGAGGAAATTCTCAACCGTCTTTGAGCCATTCGTACGAGAAGCTATTTTAGAAATTGCAGCCGTGATCCAAGTCTTGGTTTCACAAGCGGCGTTGCTTTTAAGGATCCGGTACAAGGTCGCTAGAACAACTTCAGGGTCCACGTTTTGCAGGAGGTAACTGTACTCTCCCAATACCTGGCAGGAGAAAATTAAAACATCAGGATGAGTCAATAGTAAAAAAGTCATTTTTAATAGCACAGCGTTCTAAGCATCATCTTTTTTAACGACTCCATAAACCTAATGGAGCTGAGTGTTTCCTGGCTGGATACCCTTCCTGTCACCAATGCGGAGTTTTGTTCAGCAGATGTATTCTCAACATGCCCATAGAGAGAGAAATATCTGGCTCTAACCTAGAATCGAACTCGCAGCCTCCTGAGTGTGAGGCGAGAGCTCCGCCTGTAGACCACTGCGCCACTCATAGCACAGCCTTCTAATGAGATTGTACATTCAAATTTGGAACTTCCCTAGGTTAAGAAACTGCTAAACTGACAAAATTCATTCTCTATTATGTGAAATAGAAATATTCCGCAAGAATATATTTCTTTAAAAAAAATAAATATGTCTAATCTTTCTTTCTTACCCAACTCATCACTTGAAGAAACTTCTGCGGATAAACTGCGTTTTTGTCCTCTAATAAGGACAGGTAAGATTGGACAGCGTGAAACCGCAGCTGAATGTCTTCCTTCTCATCTTCAAAGCCTACGAAAAACAGGGTGTGTGGTGTTTGTTTTTTAATTGTTGGAAATTATTATTATTATTATTTTTGTAATAACCGGATTGCATTCATTCTCCCTCGTGGTTTGCTCACCTTCTGCAAGAAGCCGCAAGAAACTGTTCAGAATGTCAGGATGCATTTTATCTCCCCCTACCGAAAACACGGCATTCATAGTCCGGATGAACCATTCGTTGTTTGGAGCATATGTGCCAGGGACATTAAAGAAAGGAAACACCACAGTTCCATCAAGGCAGCATTCAGTGTTCTATTAGGGCATCAAATCGTGCTATTGCAGAGTCCAAACGATCCATTTCTTTATTAAAGTTACTTGCGCGCGAAGAGGGGAAGCATTTATTAGTTTTCAAGGACCTGAAATGATGGCAAGGCATTCACGCAAGTCTGTACCTATTATAGGTAAAGATAAAGGTTCCCCTCGCACCTATGTGCTAGTCTTTTCCGGCTCTGGAGGGTATAACGCTGTTCCCTTCCCACCCAAGTGGTCCCTATTTTTCTACTTGCATTTTTACGTGCTTTTGAACTGCCAGGTTGGCAGAAGCTGGGACAAGTAGCAGGAGCTCACTCCATTACGCAGCGCTAGGGATTCGAACCAACCTTCCGGATTGACAAGCTCGGCACCTTAGCCACTAAGCCACTGCGCCCCTCTATTACAGGCAGTCCTTGCTTAATGGCTGTCTTGTTTATCCACCGCTCGATTACAACCAATCATTGCAGCGTTCCTGGCGTCATAGAATCAACATTCAGGTGCTCGCAATGGGGAGGTCTTTACAACTATTTCCGCATCCTGCAATCACAATTGCCATCGGCAAACTCCACAGCTGGCTTCTAAAAAGCAGAAACCAATGCAGAAACCAATAGTAAAATCACAAGTCGTCGGGTGTCTCACTTAGTGGCAGAGTTGCCGGCTATGGTTGTTAAGGGAGGACTACCTATCTTTGCTAGGATTTCCATGGGTTTCAGATGTCAGGAACGCACAGCTTCAAAGGCTCAATACAGCTCTGATATGATGTGACTCGTCTGGAAGCAAACTTTTGAACCCGATATCATCAAACCATAGGAAGAACGGCTACAGGTTTGGGGTCTGGCTAATCTAAAGAAAAGAATTAGGGGTGATATGAGAGCAGTATTCCAATATTTGAGGGGCTGACACGAAGAAGACGGGGTCAAATTATTCTCCAAAGCCCCAGAGGGCAGGACAAGAAATAAAGTTGGAAATTAATCAAGGAGAGAAGCAACTTAGAACTAAGGAGAAAGTTTATGACAGTTAAGAGCAATTAAATCAGCGGAACAACTTGCCTCCAGTTGTAAATGCTCCAAAACCAGAGGTTTTTAAGAAGAGACTGGACAGCCGCTTATCTGAAATAGTGTAGAGTTTCCTGCTTGAGCAGGGGGCTGGACTAGAAGACCTTCAAGGTCCCTTCCAGCTCTATTTCTATTTTATTCTATTATTTGGGCTAGTTTCAAGGGTACCACAAGACACATCCTTTAAAAAAAAAACTGAGTTTCAGATGCAATAAAATGCAACAACCATCAAAATGATATATCAACACAAACAATTAAAACATGTGGAGTTCATCTGTATGGAGCAGGCACGCGCAGCAGGGAAAAGGATATTTTTCAGCTAATTCTGCTATTTTCCCAGAAATGTTGATGATGGCATATTCCTCTTTGCTTTGATTTATGTAGTCCAGCATCTTCTGTACAATGACGGTGACATTTTGTTCATTGGTTATTCGATACAGAAGTTCCAAGGTCTGAAGGAGAAAATGGATAAATTTGACTCAAGTGAAACGGACGGACAGATGGATAAAAAATAAATAAATAAGCTGCGTTCAGTTTAAGGACCAGATGGTGGAATAATCAAAGAAATGCAATTATTTATTGATCACATTGCTAAATGTGCGCAACTCTGTTAACAATAATCATAACCTGGTATTTATTACCTCTCTTTTAATAATGGGATCAGGATGTTCCAGGCACTCAATTATTGTCATTTGGTGTTGCAGAGCAAGGTTCGAATCCTGCTGGATTACATAGGTTAAAGCCTTTAATCCTAAAGAGGAGAAAAAAAACTAGCAAGTTGGAAAAATGAAACTGTAGGCATTCGGCATTTATTCCGCTGGGTTGAGGAAAAAAGAAAAACGAGAGAACTTACCCAAATATTTCAAATTAATTTTAGGGGACAAGACAAATTTCCCAATACATTTGGCGGCCTTCTCAAGCAGATCAGGTTTGGAGTGAATGGCGTAAATGGTGTGGACACATTCGAACAGGATCGCTGCAGAAAAGGCAAAGAGGACATCGGAGACCCCATGCATTAAAAAATAAAACGATGCCAACAACAAAACCAGAAATCCGAATGTACAAAAAATAAATAACAAATATATCATTGACCCTAACGTTGATGAATTGTCAGTTTGTTTCCTCTTTCTTTTCTTCTTCATTTTGTATTTTAACTTCGAAAATTATATACACACATACACACACACACACATATATATGTATGTTAAAATATATAATAAAATGGGACTGCATTAATATTCAAATGATGCCAAGCACCTAACAGAGGCAGGAAAGCATTCGTAGTGTATTAGAAGGCTTTCCTGCCTGTTTATTTACATCAGATCCCGGACATAAACTGTTTCAACTCCTTCCCTCAAAACGACGCTACAGAGCACTGCACACCAGAACAACTAGACACAAGGACAGTTTTTTCCCAAACGCCATCACTCTGCTAAACAACTAATTCCCACAACACTGTCAAACTATTTAGCAAGATTGTATTACTAGTATTCTTCTCATCCTTCCTATTACCTCTCTCTTCCCACTTATGGCTATAACCTTGTTGCTTGTATCTTTACAGTTTATATTGTTTTATTTGTTTCCTAGTATGATTTGATGGTTTATTTAGTATCCTATGACTATCACTAAGCGTTGTATCTTATGAATGTATCTTATTTTAATTTACGTACCAAAGACAAATTCCTTGTGTGTCCAAATGTCAACTCATAAACTATTTCTATGGTCTTTTTAGAGTTGCCAACAGAAACTCTAAAGGGAGCAGTGCGGCAACTTGCAAACCGAAAGTGCATTCCATAAATGTTTTCAAAGAGAGTAACTAGGTGACTGAAGATTCTGCCGCGCAAAATTCTAACTGGAGAATATGATTGATGACTCTTAGCTATGGATGTGTCCCATTGTAGAACATGAATTACGATACACCCAGGGGGTGTGGGGGAAAACCAGGGTCAAGGGTGACAGTGAATGATGTGTCTCAGAGTCAGCTACACCCAGGCAATCCCGGGCAGTTTAATTCCCAATAAATCCTTTTTAAGTTTTGAAAGTTTGGCTCGAGACTCGTGATTTAAATGGAGGAACTGCCGGAGCCCTTGGCCAATAAAGAATTCTATTCTATTGTAGAACAAATCCGTCAATACTCTATGAAGAATTATGTCTGCCACCGGCAGGAATGTCTAATGCAGGTAGTCCTTGACTTACGACAACTGAGCCCCAAATTTTTGATGTTAAGTGAGATGCTTGTTAAGTGAGTTTTTCACCATTTTACGACCTTCCTTGCCGCAGCTGTCAAGTGAAATCACTGCAGTTGACAAGTCAGGAACCTGGTTGTTAAGTGAATCTGGCTTCCCCGTTGACTTTGTCAGAAGGTCTCAAAGGGGACCGTCATAAGTATGAACCAGTTGCCAAGAACCTCCCAACTCTATTCTGACTGTAACTGTAATCTGAATTTTGATCACATGACCATGGAGATGCTGCAAAGATTGTGAAAAATAGTCCTAAGTCACTTTTTTCGGTGCCGTTGTAACTTTGGTCACTAAACGAACTATTGTAAGTCGAGGACTAACCCGTATTACAAGTGAGAAAGACACATTTGGTTCCCCTTACATTAAAATAATCTTACTTCACCTACCATAAGTGATGTTGTGATTGATTTCTGCTCTCCTTAAAGATTCATCTAAAACGTCATACATTAATTCACTGGTCCTGACAAAGGAAAAAGAAAATGTTCACTGTCACTTTTAAAAAATAAAAATAAAAATAAAAGAGAGAAACTGTGTTGTCCCACAACTCTTTCATTTCATTGTACGCATGCTGTGCATTGAAAATAAAGGTTTGATTTGATTTATCAGACTTAAAACAAGTCAATAACTCTGAACAATTATTTAGCGTGCACATTATTCGTATCTGCAAACCGTACGGCAAACAACACTTTTCTCTCCCACTTTTCATATGGAAGTTTTGAGAATTTACCTTGGGTCATCTTTTCCAAGTAGCCTTAATATTCTTAAAAGCTGGATTTGCAACCAAGGGGCTGGTGTGTTGTGATAGTTATAATCCACGGGGAGTTTTCCCCCGACAACCTGCTTCAGGATTGTTACAAAGCTGCTTGTCAAATCCTTGTATTCTGAGGAATCTTCCTGGACAAAAATGCACCACACACAATTAAGACTGAACGGACAAATCAAGAATGAATAGTATTTCGTCACCATTTGCCCTGCAGTGCTTTTCGTGTGAAAGCTAATGTTTTAATAATTTCTCACACCTGAAGGCAACTGACATTTGAACATAGAACAAACACCCCGGGATCAGCACAAAATCTACTTTAAATGATATGTTTCTAAGGGGTTCTTTTCAGAAGTACTGTCTAAATCAGTGGTATAGAGCAGTGGCCCCCAACCTTTTTTGTGCCACGGCCCGGTACCGGAATCACAATGATCCGCAGCCCGGTATCGGCATCAGCATGCATGACCAAGGCAAGGCGAGCCAAGCAACCGGCCAGCCAGCCGTCCCCCGCTTCTCCCCGCCACCTTCAACTCCTCCTTTGTAACTTTTTTGTGCTTTTTTGTGCTTTCTTAATCTCCTCCGCCATCGGGACGGCTCTTCGTTCGAAGCCGCCGCCCCCTTCGATGAAACTAAGGCGCGAGGATTCCTTCAGGACCCAAACGCCGCTTTCCAACCGGAAAAGCTCACCCGGAAGCACTTTCTCGTCAAACAAGATGGCGGCACCCAGCAAACCGCGGCCCAGTAGGAAATGTTCCACGGACCGATACTGGTCTGGGGCCCAGTGGCTGGGGACCCCGGTATAGAGTCTACACTGCCCGTGTCATCAAGAGAACCCACTTTTAAAAGAAGCAAATGTCACTTTTTAAAAGGTTTGAAATTTCAGAGCTATCAAACCTTGCAAAAATTCAGTATTATTACACGAGATTTAATCAGATCTTCAGGGTAAGATTGCAGGAATGTTTTAAGACTCCAATTGTTTCTCTCTTGCCCACCATATCGTGATTTTATTTTGGTGGAATATGTCCTATTATAGCAAGTTCCTTTTTCATTAAAGAGAACCCTGTACCTTAAAATACTAATTGATACCAAGATATAATATCAGTAAATGGACAAAGCAATTACTGAGACAAAGCAATTATTGTAGAGTTATGAGAAGGAGCTACAAAAAACATTGAATTATCAGTGCAAAAAAGGATTGGAATCTCTTGAGCTAAATGCCTCACGATCTGTTATTAAAAATAATAATAATAAAAAAGAAAAGCTATTAAAAAGGATTACGGATAAACATTATTTTCCAACTTTCCCTTTGTTCTCTGACTCACATACAACATTTATAGGCACATAAAATGTGTTTTGATCTCAATCTTCACTTAGTTCCGTTTCTCCTTAAAAACATACTCTAAATATTTATATCTTCCTCCATGAATCATTTCTAGTATGGATGAAAGACTTTCTTGTTTACATTCTGTCATGGAATTGTGCTGTCAACATCAACGGCCTAAGATGCTTAAGAATCCCACCTTCACCATCTGCAGATAGATGTGCAAAGAAGCTGCCATCACACCCACATCTCTATCACAAAGCGCCTTTCGGAATTTGTCGTGAATGTGCTGGACTTGGTTAGGAGCAATTAAGTAGAACTTGTAGAGTGCCTGGACGGCTTTTCTCCGAATAATTTCCCTTAAAAAAAAGAAAGAATGAGGTTGAGTTGAGATGAGATGAGCTCTTACATCCAGGCTGACCCCGAGCTCTGTGTTTAGAGAAGCTTTCTAAGACCTCACAAGCTTCAAGCGTAGTGTCAGCTGCCACTCTATGCTTGCTTGTGCTTCACTGTGGTGACAGTCTGCCACAAACTGGGAGGAATAGGGGATAGGGAATGAAGGGGGGAGTGTGCGGAAATGAAAGTAAATGCTCTAATTCCTCTTGTGATGAGGATACAAAAGCAACAAAGGGTGGGATACAAAAGCAACAAACTCACAAAAACAGGTGACGTCCCTTTAATTCCTTCAACTTGGCTTCAAAGCTCCAATTATCATAGACTGGAGAAAAAACTCCCTCACAAACAATTGTGAAAAGGAAGAAATGCCATTCAAACTCAAAATACGTATAAATCATAAATAGGAAAAAACAACACAAACCACACTGAAGCAATTAATGAGACAAGGCAGGATAAGGGCTTGAAGACGTCCACAGATATCGAAATACACACACTGGGAAGGACGCTAGAACTCAGATAAGAACTGATAAGACTAGAATTATTTCATGCTTTGCTTCCAGCACTGCAGTTTCTCCTTTTAAACAGTCCTCACGGCTGCAGCCCATGAAGGGGCTCAGGGCCCTTTCCTCTCCCATAGACCACGCCATTCACGTTTCTCCCTTATCCACTCTTCCCTGCATGTCCTAGGATGAAGAGGGGATGGGCCTGGGTCTTCCTCTGAATTCCCAACTGGCCTCTGCCCTTCCCCAGTTTCCTCCGCAACATCCAGAGCCACACTTCCACTCCCTGTCGGTTGTTCCTCCTCTCCCTCAGCGTCAGACTCCAACAGGGGCATGACACCTCAAGAGGCTGCCTCAAGGTCACCCAGCTGGAAGGAGGACCAGGCTAAACTGCACTTGAACTAACCATTAGGAAAACATATTGCCAGAACTGGATTGGTTACACTGGAGGGAGCAATGAGAGATAGTTAAGGGACGGAAAACACTATTTACAGTTCTGGTTTTGCATTACTTGCAATACCCTTGATCTCTAACAAACTAAACCTTTCTCAGCAAATAGAACCAAGGTGCGACACGTACTTTGAATGCTGGAGTTTGTCTTCTATGAGTGGAAGGACAGCAGGAATCATTTCTTGGGGAAAAAGCTGGCTGGCTGCTGTGAGGGCCATGCATACCTCCATGAGATTCGTACTCTGCAAATCCTGCCACAATGAGTAAAAGAAATGTATTAAACAGGTTAACCACAGGTAGTCCTTGACTTACCTCCACCAGCGAGTCCAAAATTTCTGTGGGTGAGACATGTGTTAAGTGAGTTCTGCCCCATTTTATGACCATTCTTGTTGCCTGGGAGCCCCCAGTATTTGGGGGTCTTCTTTTCAATATTCTCCTCCAGGCTACTTGCTGACCAACCCACCTGCCCCTCTCTCCTGCCCTTTCCTTCTCCATTTTCCATTAAGCCATGGTGGCACAGTGCAGTACTGCAGGCTACTTCTGCTGACTGCCGGCTGCCTGCAATTTGACAGTTCAAATTTCACCAGGCTCAAGGTTGACTCAGCCTTCCGTCCTTCCGAGGTGGGTAAAACGAGGACCCAGATTGTTGGGGTCAATAAGCTGACTGTAAACTGCTTAGAGAGGGCTGTAAAGCACTACAAAGCGGTGTATAAATCTAACTCAAGGGTCTTCAAACTTGGCAAGTTTTAAGACTTGTGGACTTCAACTCCCAGAATTCCTGAGCTAACGTGACTGGAGGAGGAATTCTGGGAGTTGAAGTCCACAAATCTTAAAGCTGTCAAGTTTGAAGAGCCCTGGTCTAAGTGCTATGCTATTATCACATCCCCCTCCACACTTCCCTCATTTCTCTTGTGCTTTATTTTCCCCCACAGGTGCACAACATTAATAACATTGTGTATCACTCAGTCATGCACTAAACCTCTCTACACTTTCTCTGGCTGGATAAATGTCAACAACCAGACATTAAACAGACAGATAAACAGACATTGTCTTGTTATGATAATGGCAGCCCGTTTATATGGGCGAAACAATCTAAACTAACTTGCAATGTTTACAAGAGGGCAGTGCGGGGATCAAAGAAAGTTTATTTTCAAACGATACTGTTGTTGCTTTCTTGTAAATTAAAAAAAATGGCCTTCAGTAGATCCCACTACCAATGAAAGGCCAGAGTTTAAAGGTATTAAGCACAATTTGTGTGTGCAGATGTGCATGTTGACAAACTCTCTTTGCTATGATTCACACAAATCATTAACTCAGAAAGGACGCTCCAAAGTTGGCAATTTTGAGACTTTTGGACTTCGACTCCCAGAATTCCCCAGCAGGCCATACTAGCAGGGGAATTCTGGGAGTTGAAGTCCACAAGTCTTAAAGTTGTCAAGTTTGGAGACCCCTGTCTTAAAATATTCCTTCTTTCTCCTCCAAAGGCAAACTTTTATCAAGCATTCTGCTTTCCCTTAAGCCTAGTCGACCATTTCAGCTCAAGAAATTATGGTTTAAAAAGCATAGTCCGCGAAGCCATACCTTCACCACTGTGTTCACCAGTAGAACCAGCAACTCATGATTTTCATGCAGAAATAAAGAAATTGCCAAATAACCTAAGACAAAGGGGGAAAATGTTCTACATTAGGACACCAAATAGTTTCCACCTCTCTGTACTGTACAATTTCAGATCAACTTATAGCAAGAATGCAATATGTCTCCTCCAAGCAGCTGAATACTGTGAAGGTTTTGTAAATAGCAGGGCCAAAAGCACGTTTTTACCAACATAAAGAATACACAAGGTGTTATGATTTATGGATTTGAAGATTAAGAAACACCTAATTAATGAAAACACCTACCAACTCTTTTCTCAAAAAGATTCCCTTGCTGTGCCAGCTTAATGGCATGGATGTATCCAAAAGACGCCTCGTAGCCCAGCATCTCACAATAGATCATCCTCACCATACATTCTTTCATCAATTTCTGAAGAGCAGAAAATAAAATGAAAAGTCTTTTTAAAAACAATATGGTATTTCTGTCTTTATTGGTTAATTTATGTCTCACCTCAATCAAATCTTTATTATGGTCATAAACCAGCACAAGGAGAGTGGCATATAAACAATAATTGTTTAAAAGCTAAATGATATAAAAACAAGTTATACAAGGTTAAAAAGCATATATATACATATAGAGAGAACGAGAGCTTTAGTGTGTATATGTGTGTGTGTGTATTTTATGTGTGTGTAAGAGTCTAAACAGAATCTAAGGGTAAAATTGAAATGGCATTAAAGGGGAAAAAATAAGGCATCTGAGGAGTCTAATTGTAAAACTTACAGTAAACTTTACAACTGTCAGCAATGGTTAGAGCAAAGAGAACAATATAAATTATATTTTATTTTGTCTTTAAGACCTACCAGATTTGTAGTTGGAGCTGAAACAGTGGCTTTTAAATTATTTAATTCCTGGTGGATAAGTTTTTCTTCTTCCTAGCAGGGCATAAAATCAAAAACTTTGCTTTAAAAAAAAAGCCTCCGATATTACTTTCACTAGGCAAATTTTGGGGGCCTTAAAAAGAAGTCAGGAAAGAATACCATAAAGCCCCCTCTTTAATTTGGGGCGGAAAGAGAAAATTGAGAAAACAAGGGGGAGCCGATACAAGTACTCTACAATAAGGCCTTGCTCTCCTGGCTAAGGAGGAAGCAGAAGAACTCTGCACACGCCTGGGAACTCTCCGCAAACCTGAGCTCAGGGGCGCCTCTATACATAAAGGAGAAGGAGAGAGAAAAGGGGAGGGGGAGAGAAAAGGAGAGGGAGGTTGAGAGAAAAGGGGAGGGGGAGAGAAGGGGGAGGTTGAGAGAAAAGGAGAGGGAGGGAAAGAAAAAGGGAGAGAGAGAAAAGGGGAGAGGGAGAGAAAAGGGGAGGGAGGGAGAGAGAAAGGGGGAGGGAGGGGAAGAGAAAAGGGGAGGTTGAGAGAAAAGGAGAGGGAGGGAAAGAAAAAGGGAGAGAGAGAAAAGGGGAGAGGGAGAGAAAAGGGGAGGGAGGG